AATAGAATAGCCCCTCGCTTCGAAACTCGTGATTAAACTCGGATTTCGCTGGCGTTGCACCAATGAAAAATGGTTGAGAGAAAAAGTTTGAAAAAAAAACGTTGTATGATTTTTCTTCGTCAATATTTTGTAACAGAGGCGCAGCACCGATGCAAAAGCGGCTCCTCTGCTTTGAGCAAAACGAAATGCTTGTGTAACGAAATAAAAATGCATGGAGAGGGACATCGAGGGAGGGAGGGAGATGGCAGGCAGTCAGCGCCAACGGTTCCCCTTCGCCGTCTCCCTCTCGCACTGCAGTCGACTGCCCCAGTTCTGCGTTGGTGTGCGTTTGAGTTGTGGCCTTTTGCCATGCGAGCAAGCGAGGTGGAGATAAACAGAACGAAAGAAAGAGCAAAAGAGCGATGCATTTTTATGATTGCCAGGGCACAGTGGGATCAAATTAAATATTTAAAAAATAAAAATCAAAGATATGTCCCTTTTAATGCTTTACTAAGCTTACAAATCCTGAAGTATGGTCTTGAGTTTATCGTTTTTAACTCATTTACAATATCAAGCAAGATTAAAATGATTAAATACCAAAATTACGCATACGACTCGTAGCCGCAAGCAAAACATGGTTTTGAAAAACTTTAAAATTTTCCAAATATGGAAATTGGTTTCCATTATATAAACCGTTAGTCCGATTGAAATTCTCAGATCAACAAGCTTCATTTTATGAAAATTTTTTGAAATTACGTAAACGACTCGTTAACCAATTAGTAAATATAATACTTTTTTAATTTTTGCAGACTCTGTAACTAAAAATGTAAGCCATTATAAAGTATTTTTTAATTTTTTTAGGAGTACAATAATGTTTTTGTTTAATTGTTTATCAATGTTTGGACCACTGTGCGAGTGCAAGGCCCCTCTCTCAACCCACTCTCTCCCTTCTCCCCATTGCAAGTGTAACTGCAGTCAAGCGAGAGAGAGACGGCGATAGGAGGAGCCGATAAAAAATACAGGATAGGTGGCGAGGGGGTCGGGGACCATGCAAGTGCATCGGAATCGGATCGAAACTGCCCACCAAGTGCAGGCTGCAAACTGTGCCCCCACTCGCCAAAACACGAAAACAGCCCAGAAGACGAAGGCGCACTCAGCGGCGTGCAGAAAAGCAGGGAAGTAATCATCGCTGCACGCGTATTGGTGCATATAACATTGTATCGGAGATTTGTGCAAAAATCTCATCGCGAATCGGTGGGCGCACCTGCTCCGCCCCCTTTGTTTAGCTCTCTCTCGCTCGCACTTGCTCCTCGCGGCTGTTTTTTTTGCAATTGCATCGCTTGGCTGCGAAATCTGGGCTCCTTTTCCCAATGTAACACAACCATGCACCATGCGAGCGAAGATTGCCCCTAGGGTTCATTACGACACATATGTACGTTGCTGGATTTTACAGGACTTCGTAAGGGGGATTAACACAAAAAAAAAGGAAAATAATAAAAATAAGATGGAGTAAGCTGGTAGCCCCATATTACAACTCCACCTTCTCCTGCTAGCCGATGTTCCCCTTGCAAATGTGGCGCTCCTGCCTTTTTTGTTGCTTCTTTTTTCCTCTTTGGCCGAGCTGCGTGCACAAAAGTAACAAAATGTACTGAATGCCAACAGGCTCTCAGTTTTGTGGAGAGCAACGATTTTACATTACGCTGTTCTCAGTACGGTACACGCGCTCATTGCGCGATGCCCCCTTCCCTCGCTCTCTCCTTACCCACTGTGTGTGCGGCGGCGGTGCGAGTGTGTGTGCGTTATACTTGCGCTCTGGTTCTCCCCACTCTTGGAGCTTCCCTCTCCCCCACGGATTATAATGACTCCACTCCACTCCCCTCTTTTGTGTCGTTTTTTTTCTGTTCGCCTTTGGCGGGGTCTTTGCTCTCGTTTGCTTTATCATTCTTGTTTTTATTGTTGCTTTAATGATGCGCTTTGTGAGAGAGAGTGAGCGAAATGCACTGCATTGGAGAAAAATTGCAAGTGCATTTGCATTCTCTCTTCTCAGTCTTCAAAGAGATGCATTGTCAAAAGTAAGGGAAACCTTAAGAGCATGTTATGCTTTTATTTTAAGCCTAATTAATATTATTATCCTAAGTTTCAAGACGACTTTAAGAATACTCTGATACACATACAGAAATTTTCCATAAACATTTTAAAATTATGTATAGTACTATCAATAACTATTTTGTAACACTATGTTTAAATTTACAACATGTTAAGTAACATTAGTCCGCCCTATCGTGAGTATTTTGGACTTTAAAGCATTCTTTGGGAAGGAATCTGAAATTTTTAGGGGTATTCTATAATAAATTATGTTTAATTGAAAATTATTATAATTACCTATGGATAACTGGAGATATCAATTTTGAATCAAGGGTCTTAATGTCTGTGGGTTTCGTCATCAGCGAGACTAGAGAACCCACAACGACCACTGTAAGCACACCAATGGGATTTATCCAGTGGAATGAAAGACGGTAAAGTGGAAATACTTCCTCCTCGTCCGACCACACATTTTCAGAGGACGTCAAATTACCCACACAACCTTCGACGGACACCGGAAGTTTTTGGGAATTCAGTTGACCCGATGCCGCGGCAAATTGTGATCCAAGTGAAATCCATCCTGTTAGCAGAACACATGTGGTTCCACCCACTGCGGTGCCCATTGTATTTGCCCAGGGAACCAGCATTCCCAGAGTGAAGATTCCGAAAGTGGAGCTAGCTGCAATGGCCGCCAAGGAGACGGAGATGCTGAGAATGCCACTCGCTTTCTCCAGAAGAAATACCATAGCAAATGCTATAATCCCCAAAAGTACGATGCTGGACTTTACTACAATAGAGGACGCTCTTTCGCCTGGCTGCATTTTAAAACAACCACGGACTATATCCTGAAGGATCACCAGCGAAGTGGAGTTTAGATATACAGAAAGGGAACTCAAGCTAGCTCCAAAAACACCAGCAATAAACAACCCGGGCATTCCATAGATATGACCCATACTGTTAATCACGAAAAGGGGAACCAGTTGATCGTCGTTCTACAAGAAAACATTATTGTAAAATCTTTAAGAGAATATGATGTACTAACCATTATTAGACCAGAACTCAATGGATCGCATTCCTTATACGCATCAAATATAAGCAGTCCCAAGAAGCAAACGACGGAAGTGAAAAAGACAGCTCCAATCACCATGAAGGCGATGGATGTTCTAGCCATTTTTAAGGAAGGCAAGGACATATAACGATGTACCACTGTCTGGTTTACCGCATTAAGTGAGGTCCAGTAGAAAGTGCCACCGATTATAACGCTCCAAACGGTTTGACGAGCGTATGGCGAGGGATCGATGTTGAGAAATATAAGACGTCCTCCCTGGTTTAATCCTTCAAAAAACTCACTCAGGTCTTCGATGTAACAGGTCGCCAAAATAGTAACAACCAGAACGGAAACGAACATGATTACCACTTGCCAGATATCTGTATGCACCACAGCTTTTAGACCGCCCTAAAAAAATTATTTTTATTATTAAAAAATAATTACAAATAATAAGTAAATATTTAACTTTCTTACCAATAAAGTATAAATAACGCACACCATTATAGTAAAAGCTGCTATCAGATGAATATTAAGTCCGGAAACTTTGTTAAAAATAATAATTACGTAAATTTCTAAGCATTTTTCGAATATTAAACTTACCCTGATTCAGAGCTAAAGCGGGAAGATAGGCAAGAAGGGGTAAATATAGAATCTGAAATTTCTTTATTAATTAGTATGAAAATAATATATTAGTAGGTAAGTTTACTAACCACATCCAGTAAAAAAATGAGCGAAACTATGCTTCTTATTACCGTGTGGAAGCGCATCCCCAAGTACTAAGTACAAGTAATACACAGTAAGATTTAAAAATTTATAAAATTATAGTATTATTTTAAGGCCACTCACCTCATAGGATGAGGTAACTTGAAGAGCTGAAAACACAGGCAAATAGATAAAGGAAACGATTATCCCTTGGAGAATAATTGCAACCACAGTTAGACAATATTGAGAGCCATAATAGTAAATCTCTGAAGGAGTGCCGATTATTGCAACGGCAGATAGGCAGCTGTAGTCAAAAAGGTGAGAAAGGGATTTTGACGAAAATCAGAGATTAGCTCACCTGGCTATTAAACTCATTCCCACGGGGAAAACTTTCAGATTTCGCGATCCCATCAGGTACTCGTTCATCTTTTCCGATCCGAAGATGGTGGGTTCCGTGGGTTGTGATTCCGTTTTCGTTTTTCTATAGTTAACAAAAAGAAAAAACAGTAATTTGTTAGTTATCTTTATTACAGAGGTTTTGATTTGATTTGATTACTCACTTTATAAACCCGAAATACAGACCTATCGCAATGGATATTATGGTCATACCCAAGAACACGGTATAATCAACGGTCCCGAATCTGAAGCTGTCCATTCTTGGCGGTCTCTTCTGTTGAAATGGCGGTTGAAATGATTTCAATGGCACAAGGAGATTGGGAAAGGCATTATAGGGTTATCTACGATTTGCTATCTACAGTAGACGCTATAAATCTTATCTTGACGCCCATTTTATTGATGGTAAAATAAGTTTAAATATTGTTTTAGAGGAAAAATATTTGTTAGCCCTTTGTAAAACGCAATCATAAAAGCTTATATTCTTTTTTGCTTCCATGACTCAGCTTATTCTTTTCGGCTTCTATGACCTAGTTTATTCAAGTGTCTAAAATCGAAGGTGGGCTTTAAATCATGATGGCGAAACAAAAATGTATAAAAAAGATACAAGTAAAATATACAAATGAGTTAAGAAATATATGTGTTTATTAAAACGTAATTTATTTTATTTTAACTGATACTAGAAATATCCTTATCCGGCTTCTCGCGAAGTTTAAAGCATTCTTTGGGAAGGAATCTAAAAAATGGAAATACTCAAATAATATCTTCTTGAAAAGATGGATTAAAATAATAAATATTACCTGTGAATTACTGGAGATAACAACTTCGAATCCAATGTCTTAATATCTGTGGGTTTCGTCACCAGAGAGACCAGAGAACCCACAACGACAACGGCTAGCACGCCAATGGGACTTATCCAGTGGAATGAAAGACGGTACAGTGGAAATACTTCCTCCTCGTCCGACCACACATTTTCAGAGGACGTCAAATTACCCACACAACCTTCGACGGACACCGGAAGTTTTTGGGAATTCAGTAGACCCGATGCCGCGGCAAATTGTGATCCAAGGGAAATCCATCCTGTCAGCAGAACACATGTGATTCCACCCACTGCGGTGCCCATTGTATTTGCCCAGGGAACCAGCATTCCCAGAGTGAAGATTCCGAAAGTGGAGCTAGCTGCAATGGCCGCCAAGGAGACGGAGATGCTGAGAATGCCACTCGCCTTCTCCAGAAGAAATACCATAGCAAATGCTATAATCCCCAAAAGAACAATGCTAGACTTTACCACAATATTGGACGCCCTTTCGCCTGGCTGCATTTTGAAACAACCACGAATTATATCATGAAGGATCACCAGCGAAGTGGAGTTCAAGTAGACGGAGAGGGAACTCAAGCTAGCTCCAAAAACACCAGCAATAAACAACCCGGGCATTCCATAGATATGACCCAAACTGTTTACCACAAAAAAGGGAACCAGTTGATCGTCGTTCTGCAAAAAAACATTATTGTCAAATCTTTAATGGGTTAGAAAGTACTTACCATAATTAGACCAGCTCTCAATGGATCGCAATCTTTATAGGCATCAAAGATAAGCAGTCCCAAAAAACAAACGACGGAAGTAAAGAAGGCACCTCCAATCACCATGAAGGCGATGGAAGCTCTAGCCATTTTCAAGGATGGCAAAGACATATAACGATGTACCACTGTCTGGTTCACCGCACTAATTGAGGTAATGTAGAAAGTGCCACCGATTATAACGCTCCAAACGGTTTGACGAGCGTATGGGGAAGGATCAATGTTCAGGAATATAAGACGTCCTCCCTGCTTCAATCCCTCAAAAAAGTCATCCTGGTCGTCAATGTAACAGGTTGCCAAAATAGTAACAACCAGAACGGAAACAAACATAATGACAACTTGCCAGATATCTGTATGAACCACCGCCTTAAAACCGCCCTAAAAAAATGGTTTATTATTATTAAATAATAAGTAAATATTACAATTTCTTACCAATAAAGTATAAATAACGCACACCACTATAGTGAAAGCTGCTATTAAATGAATATTAAGTCCGGAAACTGTAATTAAGATAATATTCAAGTAAGTTTCAAGACGATTTTCAAATATAAAACTTACCCTGATTCAAAGCTAAGGCGGGAAGATAAGCAAGAAGGGGTAAGTAAAGAATCTGAAATTTATTATCAATTAGTAAGAAGCTAATTAGTAAGTAGCTAAATTATACTAACCACATCCAGTAAAAAAATGAAGGAAACTATACTTCTTATTACCGAGTGGAAGCGCATCCCCAAGTACTAAATACAAGAAATACAGAGTAAAATTAAAAAAAATCTATTTTATCATTTTTAGGGGCACTAACCTCATAGGACGAGCTAACTTGTAGAGCCGAAAACACAGGCAAATAGATATAGGAAACGATTAGCCCTTGGAGAATAATGGCTACGACAGTTAGACAATATTGAGAGCCATAATAGTAAATCTCTGAAGGAGTGCCTATTATTGCAACGGCAGATATGGAGCTGTAGTTAAAAAGATGAGAAAGGGATGACAAGAAAGAGACAGATTATCTCACCTGGCTATCAAACTCATTCCCACGGGGAAAACTTTCAGATTGCGCGATCCCATCAGGTACTCGTTCATCTTTTCCGATCCGAAGATCTGATGAGATCTATTGGGTTCCGTGGGTTGTGATTCCGTTTTGGTTTTTCTATAGTTAACAAAAAGAAAAAAACAGTAATTTGTTAGTTATCTTTATTACAGAGGTTTTGATTTGATTTGATTTGATTACTCACTTTATAAACCCGAAATACAGACCTATCGCAATGGATATTATGGTCATACCCAAGAACACGGTATAATCAACGGTCCCGAATCTGAAGCTGTCCATTCTTGGCGGTCTCTTCTGTTGAAATGCCGGCCGAAATGATTTCAATGGCACAAGGAGATTGTCAAAAGCGTTATAGGGTTATCTAAGATTTGCTATCTTCAGTAGACGCTATAAATCTTATCTTAACGCCCATTTTATTGATCGTAAAATAATTTTAAATTATGTTTTACAGGCCGGGAAACATACATATATGTTCGCCCTTTATAAAACGCAATCATAAAAGCTTTTTTGCTTCCATGACCCAGTTTATTTTTAGGTTTTACTTTGAAAATATTTCTGTACTTATATATTTCAATGAAGTACCAGCAGCGGTGGATTTTAATTCTATAAATATATTTATTGAAGCATTTCTTGTTTTTAACAATCCAAAATCGAAGGTGGGCTTTAAATCATGATGGCGAAACAAAAATATATATATAAAATAGATAAAAATAGAATATACAAATGAGTTAAGAAAAATATATGTGTAATTTATTTTATTTTAACTGATACTAGAAATATCCTTGTCCGGCTTCTCGCGAAGTTTAAAGCATTCTTTGGGAAGGAATCTGCAAATGGAAATACTCCAATAATATATTGTTGAAAGGCTTGATTAAAATAATAAATATTACCTGTGAATGACTGGAGATATCAACTTCGAATCCAAAGTCTTGATATCAGTGGGTTTGGTAACCAGAGAGACCAGAGAACCCACAACGACCACTGTAAGCACACCAATGGGGTTTATCCAGTGGAATGAAAGACGGTACAGTGGAAACACTTCCTCCTCGTCCACCCACACTTTCTCGGGGAGAGTTACATTACCCACACAACCTTCGACGGACACCGGAAGTATCTGAGAATTCAGTTGTCCCGATGCCGCAGCAATTTGCGAGCCAAAGGTTATCCATCCGGTCAAGAGGAAACCGGTGATTCCACCCACTAGGGTGCCCACTGTATTTGCCCAGGGAACCAGCATTCCCAGGGTGAAGATTCCAAAAGTAGAACTTGTTGCAATGGCCACTAAGGACATGCAGATACTCAGGACGCCACTCACCTTTTCGATAACGAATACCAAAGCAAAAGCTATGGCACCCATAACAACAATACTAGACTTCACGAAAATCGTGGATGCCTTTTCGCCTGGTTGCATTTTGAAACAACCACGGACTATATCCTGAAGAAGCACCAGGGAAGTGGAGTTTAAGAGTACAGAAAGGGAACTTAGGCCTGCTCCAAAAATACCGGCTATAAAAAGTCCTGGAATTCCATAGATATGACCGACACTTTGAACCACAAAGAGGGGCACCAGCTGATCGTTATTCTGCTCAAATAAATAGAATAAGAATTAAAATATGTATTATAATAAATAATTTTATACCCACCTTAATATATCCTGCGCTCAATGGATCGCAGTCCTTGTACATATGAAAGATTAGCACTCCCAAGAAGCACAGAACCGAATAAAAAATTACAGATCCAATGACGAAGAAAGCGATGGAAGCTCGAGCCATTTTTAAAGTGGGCAAAGACATATAACGATGGACCATCGACTGATTCACCGCATTCAGTGAGCTCCAGTAGAAAATACCACCAATTATGACACTCCACACGGTGTTACGAATATATGGCGAGGGATTAATGTTGCCAAATGTAAGACGCCCTCCTTGCTTCAATTCCACAAAGAGGTCATCTAAGTCGGTGATATAAAAGGTTGCAAGTATAGCCACAACCAGAACAGAAAGAAACATGATCACCACTTGCCAGATATCTGTATGAACCACCGCTTTTAGACCGCCCTGCAGATAAAGAGATTAAACGATTATAACATAATCCGTTAGTGAAAAATAACACTATGCAGCATCAAAAATAAACCTCGATGAATGCTATATTTTTGGATGCTTTACGAATTCCTAAGTTAAACTGCGTTTTCCAAAAAGTTCCCCGACGCAAGGATTCTTAGCAAAAGGACCTCAAAGTTCGAAAAATGCTGAAATTGGCCAACTTTGCGGAGCTCTCAGAGGCAAATGGATGCATGGTTTGATTCGATGTTAAAGTTTTTTAAAAGATACACCCTTTATCTTTCAAACCCCATACATAAAATAATTTTAGGATTTTTTTTAAGGCAGAAATAAATTCCAAAAAACATAGTCAAAAAACTGAAAAACATACAGCTGCGGTCAAAATAGTAGCAGTGTTGCCGCCTTGTGTTTTTAAAAGTTTCATGTTGTAATTTTTCTTATCCAATTAGTCTAATAGTAAAATTATAATCAATACAATATTTCCAGGAAAAGATCAATTACAACAACAAACTTTTAAATACACAGGGCGGCAACACTACTACCATTTTGACCGCAGCTGTATACTTTTATGTTTTTTGACTATGTTTTCTAGAATTTGTTTCTGCCTTAAAAAAAATCTTAAAAATTTTTTAAGTATGGGGTTTAAAAGATAAAGGATGTATCTTTTAAAAAACTTTAACATCGAATCAAACCATGCATCCATTTGCCTCTGAGAGCTCCGCAAAGTTGGCCAATTTCAGCATTTTTTGAACTTTGAGGTCCTTTTGCTAAGAATCCTTGCGTCGGGGAACTTTTTGGAAAACGCAGTTTAACTTGGGAATTCGTAACGAATCCAAAAATATAGCATCCATCGAGGTAAATTTAAAAAGCACTAAAAATGCTGCACAGTGTAATTAATTATATCGAATGTCTTACCAATAAAGTATAGATAACGACCACTACAATAGTCACAACTTCTATTAGATAAATATTAATGCCAGAAACTGTTGTTATGAAAATAAATAATAAGTAAACAGATCATCAAAGGGCATTTAAATTAAACTTACCCTGACTAAGAGCTAAGGCCGGAACGAAGATTACAAAAGGCATGTATAGCATCTGAAATGGCTTACTTATTAATACAAATATAAGATTTGGAATTAAGTTCAACTAACCACTTCAGTAACGAACAATATAGAAGCTATACTTCGTATAATCGAGTGAAAACGCATCTCCAAGTACTATTTATTACAGACAATTATAAAAAATGGGTATATAACAATCATTTTAAGGACCACTTACCTCATAGGACGAGCTAACTTGAAGAGCCGAAAACACTGGCAAATAAATATAGGCTACGGCAAGTCCTTGAAAAACAATGGCTACGATAATAAGACTATATTGAGTGCCATAATAGTAAATCTCCGAAGGTGTTCCAAGTATTGCAATGCCGGCAATAAAACTGAAAGTAGAAAAGAGATATAAAAATGGTAAATTTAATGAATTATAAATAATTCCTGATCACTTCACCTGGCTATCAAACTCATCCCCACAGGCACTACTTTCAGATTGCGCGAACCCATAAAATACTCGTTCATCTTTTTTGATCCAAAAGACGGCATGGCGTTTTCGGGTGAATCAACGGGTGGTGGGGTAGGTTCTGCATTCTTCTTGGTCTTTCTGTAGGTTAAAAAAATAATATAAATTTCAAAATTAAATAAATAAATATATTACAGTTGTTAGCCACTTTATTATTATAAATTAAAAAAAATTTATCGTTTAAAAAATTTTTAGATCCTACTCACTTAATCCATCCGAAATACAATCCTGTGACAATGGATATTATCGTCATACCCATGAACACGGTATAGTCCACGACTCCGAATCTATAGCTGTGCATACTTGGCGACCTCGTCTGTAAAAAGGTCGGTTAAAGACTGTTGGTGTAAAATGACACCTATTGCTGAGATTGCCAAAATTGGTAGAATTACGTTATCTTAGATAAACATAGATGGAGGCTTATGAAAATCTTATCAAAGCATAAACATTTACTACAATCGTTAAAAGCATATCTTTATCTTTGGTTATGGCAATATACTTTTATTTAACAATTCACAAGCAGTTCATTGCTTAATAATTAAATAAATAAATACTTTTTATTGCTTGCTTAAGTGTGAAATATAATAGTTCCGGTCTAGACACATATAAGCCAACAATTGAATAACCACAAAGATAATGACTATGTAAATAACAATTATAAAGATTTAAACAAATAGTTCCTTACCGCTTCCATTGAGCTCTTAATTTGATTTGCTTTTTTAGCGAATGTGTTTGTGTCAAATAGAGCAATATTTCCGTTGTGATAGAGAGAAGGTCATATAAATTAATATATAAGACATTTTTCTTCTCTTTTTGAAAACTATAGGTAGACAAAAAATTAAACAACAAGTTTTTTTTATCAAAAAGTTTCAAAGTTTCTGTATTAATGTAATCGTTACAAATTAATACTCATTGCTTGCATCCATAAAAAAAGGCGCATTTATATGTCTAAAATTTTTTGTCTACTACCTGAACGTACGTACACCAATATTTTTCAGTGTGTCATTTAATTTGGTTTCTAATTCTATAAATAAGTTTATTTTGTAACGATACGTTTCATGGTTTAAAAAAGTTCTGCACATTGACTTTAAAGATTCGTAGTACATATTTGAATACAAAATAAAAAAAAAACAAATTGTATTATTTAATTTGTAAATATTTTAATTAAGGTCGAACATTTTAGATTCGATGTTAGTTATATTAACTTTAAATATTTAGAGTCATTAAAAAAAAGAATTTCATATTAATATAAATGTTGAAAATATTTAAATGAACAATTCCTTGCATTAAATTAGTGTTGATTTTAATTTGATAAAATAAATAAAAATAAAAATTTATTTGAAAATTGTCTTTATTTTAGGCTTGACATGTTTACGTTGTCTGCCACTCCATAAACTTAAATATTATTTAGAATTAAGGAGATTAAAACAAACTAAGCTAAGTCTGAATGATTGGAAATGTCCTTGGCCGCCTTCTTGTGATTTTTGAAGCATTCTTTAGAAAGGAATCTGTAGATGAATGGTTTTTAATCAAATAATCTATTGTTTAAAATTATTTAAAATTATTGACATTACCTGTGGATCACTGGGGATATTAAATCTGAATCCAAAGTCTTGATGTCTGTGGGTTTGGTCACCAGTGAGACCAGTGAACCCACAACGACCACTGTAAGCACACCAATGGGATTTATCCAGTGGAATGAAAGACGGTACAGTGGAAACACTTCCTCCTCGTCCACCCACACTTTCTCGGGGAGAGTTACATTACCCACACAACCTTCGACGGTTACAGGAAGTATCTGGGAATTCAGTTGTCCCGATGCCGCAGCAAATTGCGATCCAAAGGTTATCCATCCAGTGAAGAGGAAAGCGGTGATTCCACCCACTAGGGTGCCCACTGTATTTGACCAGGGAACCAGCATTCCCAGGGTGAAGATTCCAAATGTGGCACTAGTTCCAATGGCCACTAACGATATGCAGATACTCAGGACGCCACTCACTTTTTCCAGAATAAACACCAAGGCAAAAGCGATGACGCCCAAAATAACAATGCTGGACTTCACAAAAATCGCAGATGCTTTTTCACCTGGCTGCATTTTAAAACAACCACGGATTATATCCTGAAGAATTACCAGTGAAGTGGAGTTTAAGTACACAGAAAGGGAACTTAAGCCGGCTCCAAAGATACCAGCTATAAAAAGACCTGGCATTCCATAGATATGACCGACACTCTGAACCACGAAAAAGGGCACCAACTGATCGTTATTCTGTTTAGATAAAAAAATATATATTACAGTGTTATCAAATCAATAAATATTCCGTACCCACCTTAATATATCCTGCACTCAATGGATCGCAGTCTTTGTACATATGAAAGATTAGCAATCCCAAAAAGCACAGGACGGAATAAAATATGATAGCTCCAATGACAAAAAAGGCGATGGACTTTTGGGCCATTTGTAACGAAGGCAAAGACATATATCTATGAACCATCGCCTGATTAACCGCATTAATTGAGGTCAAGTAGAAAGTACACCCGATTAGAACACTCCACACGGTGTTTCGGATATATGGCGAGGAATCAATATTGCCAAATATAAGTCTTTGTCCCTTTTCAACTTTTTCTAGTAGGTCATCTAGGTCGCTGATATAACAGGTCGCAAGTATAGCCACAACCAGAACAGATATAAACATGATTGCCACTTGCCAGATATCTGTATGAACCACCGCCTTCAGACCGCCCTGCAGATAAAGAGATTTAACGATTATAATCCGCTAATGAAAAATAATTAATTTTATCAATTGTCTTACCAATAAAGTATAAATAACGACCACTATAATAGTCACCACTTCTATTATATAAATATTAATACCGGAAACTGTTGTTAAGAAAAAATATAGTTATAATATGTCAAGGGTCATTTAAACAGAACTTACCCTGGTTTAAAGCTAGTGCCGGAACAAAGACCAGAAAAGGCATATAAAGTATCTAAAATGGCGTTTTAATTAATAACATTATAGAACTTGGAACTATATTCAACTAACCACTTCAATGACGAATATTATAGAAACTATGCTTCTTATAATCGAGTGAAAACGCATCCCCAAGTACTGGATATTAAGAAAATGATAAAATAAATAAAATAATATATCCTTGGATAACAAATTTAAAAAGCACTAACCTCATAGGATGAGCGAACTTGAAGAGCTGAAAACACAGGCAAGTAGATATAGGCTACGGCAAGTCCTTGGATTATAATGGCTACGACAATAAGACTGTATTGAGTGCCATAATAGTAAATCTCTGAAGGTGCTCCCAGTATTGCAACGCCCGAAATAAAGCTGTTAATTAAATGGAAATTAAAACAAGGTCTAAAGGATTCGATCTTGTTCAGTTCACCTGGCTACCAAACTCATTCCAACAGGAAAAACTTTCAGATTGCGCGAACCCATGAGATACTCGTTCATTTTTTCCGATCCGAAGTTTGGCATGGATCTTTCGGAGGAATCTACAGGTGGCGGGCTAGGTTCTGCATTTTTCTTGGATTTTCTGTTGATTAAAAAAAAAATTATACATTTTAAGAATGAACTTAGATACTTAATCATTAACTAACTTAATTTTTACAAATCCTACTTACTTTATCCATCCGTAATAAAGTCCTGTGGCGATGGATGCTATGGTCATACCCAGAAACACGGTATAGTCAACAACTCCGAATCTATAGTTGTCCATACTCGGCGACATTTTCAGCAATAATGTCCGTAAATGTCTGGCGATCTAAAATGGGTCATGAAACTAAGATTGTTCAAATTGATATTATCTCAGAAATTTTATCTTTGGTAAACATAGATGGATGGATTATAAGGGCCTTATCACAACAATGAAATTTTATTGAATATTAAAGTGTCAAATATAATATTTTCAGTCTAGGCACATTTTGGCAAACAATTGAATAATCACGATAATCATAATAATCAGATAATAAGTTTGTAAATAACCATAATAAAGGTTTAAGCAAATGATTTCTTACCGCTTCCATGAAGAGCTTAATTTGATTTGAATTTTGAGCGAATGAGTTTGTGTCAGCTAGAGCAATATTTCCGTTGTGATAGAGAAAAGCTCGTGTGAAAATAAAAAAGAGATCGTTTTCTCTCATAGTATAGTTTATACACATAAAAGATTAAATACGATAAAAATTTAAATATTATCTTTGATTTTTGATTTATTTTTCCTCAGAGTTTATGTTTTTAAAAGTAGTGAATTCAAAAAAATTTTGGAATAATAGGTATGACTACAATTTTTTGTATATTAGCTGAAGCATTTATATATTTCAGTGTACCATTAAATTTGGTGTTTAACTCTATAAATAAATGTAGTTTTCCACGATATGGTTGACCTCCTACAAATTACTAATACTCATAAATCATGATAAATTTACGACACGTGCCACACAATATAGGGGAAAAGATCACGCATTAGCACAAAATATAAACTTGAAAGAAAATTAAATCGTATACCTATCAATAGGTTACCAAAATAGTTTAAAGAATGCATCCGCCCAATTGGTTTAAAAAAAGGTTATGTTAATTAAAATTTGAGAACATTTATTTAAATTCAAAACTTCTGTAGAGTCTATTTTTACATTTTGTTTTATAAAGTAGATTTTTATTTTTTTCTTGATATGTTTGCGTTTCAGTTTGTTGTCATTTCCAATTCCACCATTTAATTGTATATACGTTTAAAAATTAGAGTTAAACATTTTTTTTCTTTTTAAATTATAGATTTTTTAATTCTTTATATATTTAAGATGTTTTGTTACGTTATTTAATTAACTAAATATTAGCTTTAATTTCTAAAAATGTATTTTACGATCCAATGTTTTTTAGATATTAAATTCTAAAATCGTGGAAGGTTTCTCCTTACTTTTTTTTTGTTTTATAATTAACTTTAAAAAGCTGAAATGCTTATGATTTTAGTTTTAATTTTCTCTCCTAAAAGTGGGATTTTTAGATTGCAGGTTCTTAAAAGCTAACAAGTGCTCCATTGATATGTATCGTTTTCGATTTGTGGATCAACAAGTTGAATGCATTAACTAAATTCCAACTAAGTGTAAAGAGATAACGTCGCTAAAATGCGGTCGTTTTCTGGACATCGTACTCCTCCATTTTTTCGGGTGGCTTCTTAACTACTTATCACAGTTTGCAAAGGGATCTCCTACTTCTGACTAAAACTCTCCAGCTTTTGGTGGATTGATCACCCCACAGGCTTCTTTAAAATTGGTGGCATTCAGTGGACTAAAGTAATCCTCGTGCAGGAAGCGAATGATGTTCTCGATGGGACACAGATCGGCTTTGTTTCCCCGGGAATCCCTCGTAACCCTCAGGCTCTTTCCGCCCTCGCAAAAATCGATTTGTTGGGTCACATCCTTTCCGTTATAAACTACCCGAAAATAGTAATCCGTGTGCGCTTCACTGCGATAAACTTCGAAAGCCAATCTGGAGGCATAGGCAATAGTTTGACCTTGACTCGTGATGATTCCCAAGGCAGCTGTTAGATATTGCATGGTGCAATCGTGACCAGAATACAGCACAAACTTTGTCCTATCACCGGAGATCATCTTTAGCATATAGCTGACAATGTGACGGATCATTCCATAGGATCTTAAAAGTCCAGATAGCTTGTAGTATGAATGGCTAGCGGAACGTTGAGATAGCTCATCGGCGAAGGACATCAGGGTGTCCACATGACTCGGTTCTACGCAGCCCTCTTGAGATTCCTCAGCCTGCAGCGAAGGATTTCCATTTTGCAGCTCGGGGGAATCGGGTTCCTGCTGGTTTTGTGCCTCCTACAGTTGGAAAATAATTAATTTTATTAAATTAATTATAAATAAAATTCTTAAATAATTACCTGTAACAGATTGGCAGCCGTTTCATCCTGATCTATATTAATTACATCCACCAGCTCTTGATTGGAATTCTTTTTCAGAGGTTTAGGAGTGGAAACCTGCTTTTTCCGCCGACATGGCAGCGAAGCATCATGACAAAGAACGGTAAGCAGGGCATCCACCACCTCGAAGGGATTGCTAATGCCATTGGGAGTGTGTTGCAGTATGGTGCCACCTATCCACTGCATCACTTCCAGGACATCGGCACGTTTCAGCAGCTGCTTATCTCCCATTGCCTCCAAACGTTTCCTTAGCAAAGCCGACTGTGGACAGCTGCACTCCCCGAAACAGAAGGCCATGCTGTGAGATTCCCGGACATTCAGAGCCAACCATTTATCCGCCGGCAGCAGGGCGAACAACATGGCCAAGGCGGATTGGAAGGTACGACGATAGCGAGTGGTGAAGACCACCACTTCGTCCGAATTGAGAAGCGTGTGGGGAGTTGTTTCCACTGAAGCGCGATTGGGATTCGGTTTGAGCAGCAGACCCAAGGGATGGGCATACACCTGGTGCATGATGTCGCCAACGTGAAGAAGCTGCGAAATGCCCCTTGGATGGGATGTCAAATTAATATGGAATTTAATTAAAGTTTCTCCCAGGGTTCGGAAAATAGCACAAAATAGTACTGTAAAAAACTTTTGTTATTAACATGTTAAATGACAAAGTGTTAAGGTCAAAAAAAAATTGTATCCTACATTGTATGTTAGAAACATAAATAACACACTCATGTCATTTGTGTTATTTACACGACGTGTTTTTTACGCAGCGTGTTTTTAACACAATGAGTTTTTGACATTAAAGTGTCAGAATTGTACGTTAAACTGAAAAATGCACGGTTTTCTAGAGTATAAGAATTCATAAATGCTTTGAAATGGTTAAAACTAACATATAAGAGATCATAAACCATATTGGTTTTTCATTTTTCCTTCGACTCGTAATGTCTGTGAAATGTAATTTTCATTTGTGTCAAAAACACGTCATGCTAAAAACACATTGTGTAAAAAACACAGTGAGCTGTGTGTGCTAACAATTATTTTTCACATTTTTCACACTTTTGTATTTGACACACATGTCAAAAATTTGGCTCACACTGTAAAATACAATTTTTTATGTTTTCAACATGTGTGTCAATTTCCGAACCCTGGTTTCTCCCCTTACTTGTAAGTCAGCTGACCCAGTGGACAACCACGTTCCGTGGCTGGAAGCAGCGGAAATCCATGAAACGGACCCACTTTGCTCCAGTACATATGATTCGAGCCCGAAGCGGAGCTGCTCGAGTTGTACAAAAAGCTGCGATATCTAAAGGGAAATAGTTTTAAGGAAAGATTAATAATTTCAAGAGACGAAAGAGAAACCCACCTGTTGACCAGGCTATCTGTGCCACCTCCACTCACGCCGCAATTGATGCCAGCACTTCGGACATGAGAAATGGGTCCTCGATCCCCGTGCCTGATGACCAGGAGCACTCCCTGAAGCTTCCAACCCTCCAAGATGCCGCCATCGTCCAAACGCTGCAGCTGCGGCAGCGGAGCACAGCGTTCTCGGTACTTGGCAAACCGTTGGGCAGTGGAGGATGCCATTGGATCGCCGCCCAAGGAACTGACGGTGCCAGACGAACTGGGTCCAAAAACTGAGCCACCACCTCCCGAAATCGACTCAACATTGCCCATGTAGCGATACATTCCTGAAAAGATTAATAAATTATTTAGGATTTTGGTAATGCTAAAACTGGATAATTATTGAGATTATAATTTTTAATTTGTTTAAAAAATGTTGTTAAATTTATTTGACATTTATATTGATATAGATAAATATTTTCTAACCATTTAAATTTAATTTTTAATTTTATTTATTTAATATCCCAGCGCTACAAGTGCACAATTATAATTATCGCGCTAGTCACATTCAGTTGATATTTTTAACTTATTATTATTTTTAAAATATTTAAACAATTTTCCCCACTTACTTAATTACTAACATCAAATACTTTGTAGTTTTCCATTGATTGTTTGATATATTATTAAGTACTCACCCGCTATAAGCAGGAATATCCAGACGCTGAGCAGCACATAGCAGTAGAAGGCACGATGTTGGGTGGCCACACGCATCAGTTCCTTGAGCAGCCTCATCCTGGCCAGAAAGTCCGGCTCTTACCTGCTGCTGCTGCCCCCTAACTCCACGGCTCCTCCTCGGCATCAACGCGATGGGCGGCACTCTTGGAGGGTTCCTGCTGATTAGTTAGCTCCGTTTTAATCCTTTCCAGCGCTAAATAATCCTGGCAATAGCTCCGCTTCGAGGGAAGAAAAGTTTTAACAACCAGCTGAAGAAAAAACCTGGTTCAAGCGTTTACGTGGAGCACGTCCAATTGCCAGGGGCATGCGCACTGGAGGCCACAACGTTATCAGCTGTTTGCACAGGGGTGCTGGCCAAAGGGGGAGATTTGAATACTAATAGCTAATAACAAGGCAATTGTTATGGTATATATAATAGGTAATCTCTCTTTTTAAACCCATTAAACCATCATTATTCAGTATAAGCTTTGCATCAAGCTCGAGTGCACTCTTTAATAACAATCTTAGTGTTCCCAATACATTTGTGGCTTTGGCTCAAGGCGTATGTAATAAATATGCGTAAACTGTTGGCCGGCTGAAAGGCGGGGCTTCGTTCGCCTATGCAGCCGGATTTAAAATATGGTGGGTATTTAAATGTATATTCTGGTGGTATATAAGTTATTTTGAGATCAGTTCCAGTCTAATCCTGCGCTGCAGTCAGGGCCAAAACAGTGAAGCGTACCTCGTCGGGATCACGGGACATGAACTCCTTGCACACCTTGGCCGCATCCTTGACAAAGGTCTCCTCCGAAGTTGAGCCATGCTTGATCGGGAAGGATTTGCGACCGTCCAGCTCGTACAGAGTGCCTTCCTTGTTGACCAGGGCGATAAAGTGATGGATCACAGTCTCGTGCTCGGCGGCATTGGTCTGACCTTCTTGGGCCAGAGCCTGGTGATCGGCGGTGAAGTCCTTGTCGGTCTCCAAGGCCTTGCCACGTTCCTCCGGCGAAAGCGAGGCGGTCTTCTCCAGGAAGGCCTTCAGCACACCGCTATCGATGTCAACACTAAAAAAAATATAAGATAAAAAATATAAATGAAAATCGCATTAAAACGATAATTATTACTGGAGTAATTTTTACTATTTTTCAGTGATTTTTACTATTTTTTTAAACTCAAAAGATTAAGTGTAATTGATATTAAGAAAATATCATAACATGCTTATAAGATTTTAATTGGTAGCTAAACTTCATGACTTTTGATGTCGTTATTCTAAACTAATTTTTATGAATGACAGAAAATAATTTTAACATTAAATTTAAAACAAAAAATCATCATTTAAATTTGCCAAATAAGAACAGTCTATGGAAATTTTTTATAACAATTTTGAAATAGTAAAAAAGTTGTTTTTAACCCTTAAAAAAGTATTCGCTTTGAATTTTTTAAAATTTTAAGTGAATGGGACCTTTTTTAAATTGATTTGAAAAACATGTTTTCTGAAAATTAATGGAAAAAAAGCACCATTGCCTACAAGAATTATAATTTTTAGGAAGAATTACTTTTTGAGTGTAATAACGGAAGAAATATTATTAAATTTGCTGGAACTGAGCATTTGTTTTAAGTATTAAAAATTCCTAATTTAAAACTAATAATGCGATAAAAAAATAAAAATACCGTAAGAAAATCACATATTTTAAAATCTTTTAACCTACTCTTTGTTGTTGGCCACGCTGTGGATCAAGGCGACGGTGCCACAGGCGTTGTGGGTAAACTGGCGCATATAGAAGAGATCGGCGGGATGCTGATCCTGCCCATCCTTCACGCGTTCGTGCTCTTCGGCGCGATGTTTCTCATACTGAAAGTGGAAGATTAGTTATTAAAGATAGTCAAAAACCCGATTATAACCCACCGTTTCGCTGCAAGGAAAGAGCAAAATGAACGCCTTCACGGGACGCGGAATCCATTCCAAAGTGTCCTCCTCCAGTCCGATGACGTCAGTTACCGACCAGGCTGGCGACACGCCCAGTTTATGTATGTACTTGGTCAGGACCTGGGAATGGGAAAATTTAATGGCGTCTTTTCACTTATTTTCCCCCAAAAGGAAGCCGACATTTTCGCGAAAAGCCACAACAAAGGAATTTGCTAGTGCTGCAAGTAGCGAAAGTAGGATTTAAATGTATAAGTTTCTCACCTCGGGATTGGATTCAAGTGGAGTCCAGGTCGACATTTTTTCTGTAATTTGTCTTTAGTTGCGTTCTGAGTGAAAATTCAAAGGAAAATGAAGGATTTGTCTAGACAATTACCGGCACTTTTTGTGAGCTTAAAATTTTCTAGAATAGGGTGTGTACGCATTGGCTTTCGATTTTGAATTTATCGATAGTTAACTTATTAAAATTTTTACGTTTCCCAATAAAAGCTCTTGCTTATAAGCAAAAGAAAATAACATACTATTTATTAAAAGATTTTTTATATATTTACTTTTTACTTTTAAATAATTTTTATACACAAAAAGCCAACTATCGATATTAAAATTTAATAGTGTTGCAAAACGTTCAAACTTAACTAACATGTGTTTAACATTTTTTCGCACAGAGGTGTGCACACACTTGACCGAAAGTAAACAACATTTTACATTGTTTACAAAATGACCAAAGCAAATAAAACTCCGCAAAAAGCCAGTGAACCCAATATAAATGCCTTCCTGACACCAGTTCGATGTGGGTAATCTTGAAATATATGTGGAACTAATTACTTATTTATTTACCAAACAGATCTGGACAGTCCCCGCCTGCAATCGCCCACAAGTCATGATTCCAACTTGGCCACCTGCAAAACGAGATTGGAGACGATAGTCAAGCAACTCCAGGATAATTACGCCAAATGGCAATTGGCACAGCAGCGGGGCACCGCCATTTGCTATGCCATTGAGGCCAAAAAAACCAAGTGCCTGGAAAAAAGCCAGGACGACGGGGTGACCTCCAGTTATCCGGATGATCTGCTCCTGCCGTGCAACAAGTTGGCCATTATAGCCTCGATTTTCGGGGATATAGCGAATAATACAAAGGAGATCCTTAGACAACTTAGAGCAATTTGTAAATTGCCAGGCGCCGCAGCGGGTACGATATTCTACAGGTCCTGGAAGTTGCCACAATTTGTGGCATTTACCAAAGAACTTGCAGAAAGATATGAACAGGAGGCTTTGGTCAAGAAGGAAGTTGCCGGTAAGAAGGTTTTCCTAATATAATAAATAATTAAAATGCCCCTTTTTCTTAATTTAAGGCACTTCCTATATAAAAATAATTTTAGTAACTATTTATTCATTATTTTTCCTATAGAAAACATTGCTCACTCGACGGAAAGAAGCCAACTTATCGCGTTTACTACTTTATGGGAGTTTCCCGAGCACGTGGATTCCTATGTCCAGTTGGGTTTTCTCCTTCTCGCCGAAGAAGTCAGTTTAAGGCAATAAATACACCAATTTTTCAACTTGTTAATACAACTTTTAGTGTCTATTCATGTTGGGGCAGTAAAACTTCATGACAACTTGAGATTATGCGAAAGCTTAACAAAAAATACTATGTAAATTCTATAAACTTAGATGCTATAAAAAAATGGAAATGGCAGATATTAAATGCTTCGTTGTGCCTTAAGTCTGAACAGAGATCCGCTCCAGTCGGGGAGCACTGTGGAATTTGGTCCACCACCAGAACCAGGCGCACGAGAATCCAACGGCCAAGGTGGTGAAGTAAAAAACGGTGGCCAGGCTGAACTTTTTCTGGAATGAAAAGCAAATATAAGTTTTAATAAAATATTAATAGGAAATAGAGCCCTGCGTGAATCATTCAATTTTTGTTTTATCATAGTATGCCATTAAATTTCTGATTTGTTTAATTCAATTCTATGTGAAATAAATTGAATGTTTTTCTAATTCATTTCGAATTAAATGAATAAATACATAATTTTTATGAATTTTTTGAATTTGCCAAATTTTTTTTGTTTTTTTTTTTTTGAGAACAAAAAGTGGAAAATTTTTTACAAATCAATGTTAACTGACTAGTAAATAAAATTCAGGCAGATTTAATCACAAAAATATGCCCTTTCTTCTTCAAAAGAAATTGTCGTTTGAATTATTTCGGAATTCATGCCATTCATTCATTCAAATCTATTAAACTCAAAATTAACAAAAAATTCAAAATAAATCATTGCAGGGCTATAATAGGAAACTAACATAAAATATGTGCTCAAAATATAGAACACTAAGCTATTTTGGCATATCCTTTCTATCTTATTTTATCTTCACCTTCTTGTTGGTCTCCTTAGCCTGAATTTCCTTCTGGTTCCTTGCATTCTGGGCATTCGCTTCGATTTTCCTGAGATCCTGGGCTATTTCCTCGGTGATCTGCTTGACGCTCTTAAGCGTTTCCAAGGCGAAGCAGCTGGCATAGCGTTTGTCGCCCACGACGACATCCTCGGGCGTGGAGATCTGCAGCTTGTAGTTGGTGACCGCCAAGGAGGCGCGCAAGGACATAAAGTGGCTGCCCGCGTTGCCGATTATCTGATTGTTGTAGGCCTTGGCCTCCGGATGGCTGCGAAGGTACTCGTAGCTAGGATCCTGATTGGGCATCTTGTCGAACATCTCCAGTAGCTGTTTGCGTTGATTCGCCGACTTGAAGCCGAACAATTCCAAATCCTCGTCGGTGAGCGAGGCCAAATCGCGGTAGCTAATGTCCTCGGCAATCAGCTTGTCCACACAACTGCTGGCGTAGTCCATTTCCACGGTGGTGGACGAGAGCAGCCCATTGAGGATCTCCCGCTCGCGACGCGTGTCCTTGCGAGCCTTTTGGCGAATCCACGGACGCCGCTCGTTGCCCAGAAAAGCTTCATCCAACTCCTGCTGATGCGTCCGCGTGTGAAAGTCCTTCTTGGCATCGAACTGGATGGCCGGCGGCACTTTGGCCATGCCCACCAAGGGCACATTACCCGCGGACATGGTGTGCGTCTTTGTTTACGTTAATCTCTGTCAATAAAAGCAATTAATTGTCAATTTAAATGCAATTGCGCTAAGATGAGATTGATGCTGATTAAAAGCAGGCGTTTTGCAACACTTACGTAAGTAGGGTGGGTCAAGAATATGTAACAGCAAATGTTACGGTTAACAGGAAATGTTGGGGTTCCATGTTATTTAGTTTAAAAAAAACTTTATTATCCCTAAAACTGAGACACCCTACCTGACCACTGTTTACACAACAAAACACATTAAATGCTTAACATTTGTATTTAAAAATATAACAAATTGGTGAATCGTAAATGGTAAAGCTGCCTAATTGTCCTATTTGTCAGCCGGTGGTCTGTAGACTGGAGTACTGGTGGTGGCCGCCTCCTGCAGCTTCTTCATAAACAGGGCCTTTCGCTGGTCATCTGCGCTGAGTTTTGAACTCGAAACGGATGCCTTGATGCGTTCAATTTTCTCGGCATTCGGCTCGGTCAGCACCATCAGGCCATAGCCCATGCCACCAAAGCCAATCAGCCACAAGACGGACTTCAAATAGGGATTACTAAGCATTTTGAATGGTTTTTGTTCCTAATTCTAGTCGCTCTTCTTCAGGGCGCTCCAATAACTCGCATCCGCCTGTCGCACTGTACTATCGCCCACAATTTCACCAATTTTATAGTAATAGTCCAGCACAAAGGGATAGTTTTCGTGAATGTGCTGACGGAACTCTGCAAAAATAGGATAATTATCTACAGTACTTATATAAAGATCCTCCGCTCACCTCGATTTGTGTTCATGCGATAATAGACACCGTAGCTGGCCGCAAAGCAAACCGCCTCCAGAACAAACAGAGTCTTGGCACTTCCCTTGATGAATCTCCAAATGGCTGGCTTGGGCGTCTTGGGCAGCATTGCAAATATGAGTTAGAAAATTAAACACGTTTGCTTTCTAAAAAATAAAACAAAATTGCTTACGCAGAAGTCGATAACATCGATAACGATTGACGAGCAGTGTTGGTTAAGAAACCGCAACAGCTGTTCAACCGGCTAGTATGTGTGTGTATGTGTGCCTCTTCTTCTTCTTCTTGCTCAGTGCACTGTTTATCTCACGTTTTTGTTTTTGCCCACTGATAACGCGACGCAATTTAGTTAATAGTGAAAATTCACTTTTCATATCGATGGAAAATCGGCCACGATGAGCGGCAATACACACGGACTCAGCTGGTTTCCGCACTTTCCCGACAAATTCGTGTCGTGGGGCCAGGAAATCCATTTGTACGAGGTGCGCCGCAAAGATGATCACAGCCAGAAAAGTAAGGTTTTTAATTTCTCTATAGATTTGTATAATACCCTTAATTTTCCAGGTCGCCTGCCTTATATATCCGTGAACTACCTCGCCAACGAATCGCACTATCAATATGCCCGCTGCGTGGCCACCTCCTATCACAGCGACCAACCGATTATAGCGGTGGGTCTGGCGGATGGCAAAATCGGGATATGCAACTTTCGGGACACCTACGACAGCAGCTGGGAGTACAGTGGGTTAACTAGGGATACCTATTACCCGATATTTATTATCTAATAATCCTGTCATATTTTGCAGCTCCTCGACAGCAGCGCATGTGCACCTGCCTCGCCTGGAACGAGCTGGACGCCAATATCCTGGCCATTGGCCACGATCGCCATCGGAATGACACCTGCATCACCATCTGGGACATCGAACGAGGTGTTCCCAAGGAGACGGCCAACTTCTTTGGCGTCGGCGAGTCCGCCAATTCGATCTGCTGGGATCGAAATCATCGCACTGTCATCGCGGGCATGAGCCAAAAGATGATTAAGCTGTTCGATCTGAGACGTGAGTCGGTTTATACAGATTTCTTTATGGATTCTATACGGGAAAACAGTTTTCAGCTAAATTATATCTTGAAATCAAACTGGTTATGAAAATATAGGGGCATATAAGCTGTTCAATCTGAGAAATGAGTCGTTTTATAGAGATTTTTTTATCAATCCTATACGAGAAAACAGTTTTCAGCTAATTTATACCTTTGAAATCAAGCTAGTTATGAAGTTTTTGGGTTTTTAAGCTGTTCGATCTGAGACGTGAGTCGGTTTATATAAATTTTTTTATGGATCCTATACGAGAACAAATTTTCCAGCTAAATTATACCTTTAAATAAAGCTAGTTATGAAGTTATAGGGGTTATAAGCTGTTCGATCTGAGACGTGAGTCGGTTTATACAGATTTCTTTATGGATCCTATACGAGAAGACAGTTTTCAGCTAAAATAAACCTTGAAATCAAGCTAGTTATGAAGTTTTTGGGTTTTTAAGCTGTTCGATCTGAAACGTGAGTGGGTTTATAGAGATTTCCCTATCGTTTATATCAGAGAAAGTGTTTCCAGCTAAATTATACCTTTAAATCAAGATAAATATGAAGTTATAGGGGTATATAATGGTATATATTGTGGTAATTTCGCATATTAGCGGTAGCCTTTTAGTTCTAAAAGTTCCAAAGTTATAGATTTTATAGTAATATATTTATCCAATCCACAGAGAGCAACGCCACCTGCCAGAGCATTCAAACAAAGACAGTCCAGGGACTCTCGGTCTCCCCCAATGGCAACTACCTCTGCAGCTATGTGGACTCAGTGATCACGCTGTGGGATCCGCGAAACATCAAGAGTCCTCTCAGGCAGATTCAGTCCTCGAAGAATCATCTGCAGATCGCTTGGTGTCCCACGAGAACGAGCTTGCTCTCCTCCCTGCAAAGGGATTCCTCTTACATCACCCTCTACGACATTCGGAGTGTGGATACCGAGAATTCCGGAGAGATTTACCACGTCAAACGGCAGATTAGCCCCTTTCCGGCTAAATATCAGCATAGTGGAAAGTTTTCTTTTGTTAATTGCCTGTCGTGGCATTCGAGAGATTTCGAAAGGGCTCTTCTTTTGGCGGATGCCCTGAATATCCTGGATTTTCGACTGCCAGCCACGCTGCACACGGCGCACAGCAATCGCCGGCAGTTGCCACTGCTCATGCAGCGTCCTCTTTATACACCTGCTTCTCCTACTTCCACCACAGCGGCCACGCCCACGCAGCAACAGCCCACGAGCAGCTGCAGCACGAATAGCGGGAGCTCGCTGGACTTCAACACCCCCGGTGGTTCGCCCTTGAATGTGGACCTCATAGAGCCGGAACTCTTTGAACTCGACCTTGTGGACGAGACACGTCAACGGGCTCTCGAGGATTATGGCATTAAGCCGGATAACAAGCGATTTGCAGAGCTCCATTTGACACCGTATCTGCGGAATGTTTGGTCCACGCTGAACAATGTCTACAGCGAGGATCGGTTGACGGGCTTGAAGGCCACTTTGGGCATCAATCTGGGACACACCTCGGAGGCCTTGATGGCCAGCTCCCGCATCGAATCTCAGGTGCTCCAGTGGCCAGAGGGAATCAATAACTCCAATAAGCTGATATGTTACAGGTATGTTTCTTTTAGTGCCCTGCATGAATGGATTCAATGAACTATTTTGAATTTTTTGTTTTATATGAATAAATTAATAAGAATTTTAAGTTTAAAAGAATTGAATGAGTTTGAATTTTGAGTTTAATAGAATTGAATGAATGAACGGCATGAATTCCGAAATAATTCAAACGACAATTTCTTTTGAAGAAGAAAGGCCCATAATTTTGTGATTAAATCAGCCTGAATTTAATTTACTAGGCAGTTAACATTGATGTATTAAAAATTTTTCACTTTTTTAAATCTGGCAAATTAAAAAAATTCATAAAAAATATTCATTCATTCATTCAATTCGAATTTAATTTGAAAAACATTTAATTTATTTCACATAGAATTGGATTAAACAAATCAGAAATTTCATGGCATACTATGATAAAACAAAAAATTTATGATTCACGCAGGGCTCTAGTTTCTAATGAGCTTTGCTATTATACGCCTTTTGTTTTAATCCCAAAATACGTTTTTAGGAGCGAGCAACGTGACCTGGCCCTTCAACTCTGCGGCTGGGCCTTTGAGCAGGAACTGGAGCGCTTTATTGATCAGCTGTATGCCAACAAGGAGTACAGCCGTGCAGCCATGATCTGTGTGTTCCACCTCAAAATCTTTCACGCCTGCAACATTCTTTCCTCGGCGGCGGACAACATGAGGGATCCCAGCATGTACAGGATCACCGTGATCGCCTTGTCCAGCTTCAATGCAGATCGCTGCAGCTCCACGTGGCGGAATCAACGGTCCAGTGCCAATATGCAGATACACGATCCACATTTGAGAGCTATTTTCTCCTTCCTCACCATGGAGAAGGATAATTTCGATGCGGTGCTGAAGGAAGAAGGCGTTTCGATGTCGGATCGCATGGCCTTCGCCTGCAAATATCTTTCGGAGACCAAGCTGGCTGACTATGTGACTCAGCAAATCCAGGCGGCCATCGATGGCGGTGATTTGAATGGCTTGCTGTTGACCGGGGAGTCGCTGGATGGAATCAACATACTGCAATCCTACATGGACACAAGCTTCGATGTGCAGGTGAGGTTATTTACTAGAAGATATTTATGTTTTGTTACAAAATGTTTTAATTCAATAGATATTTGAAAAAACATACAAATTTTTTATAAAATAGACACATTATATTAGTAACGGTAGGCAGAATCAATTTATTTACATATATGGTGAGCTGTCACTTAAATGTCAAAAATTCATTGTGTTAAAAACACGTTGTGTAAAAAACACGTCGTGTAAATAACACAAATGACATGTGTGTTATTTATGTTTCTAGCATATGTAGGCTAAAATTTTTAACACATATGTTAATAACTTATTTGAACTTAAAACTTTGACATTTAACATCTTAATAAAACAAGTTATTTACAGTGTGTGTTATTTTCCGAACCCTGGTTTTGTACTAATCTAATGTGCTTTATCCTTTAGACTGTAGCCCTGGTGGCCATCAACTACTTCCGGCAGGAGCACTTTGCGGACAAGCGCATTCAGTACTGGATCGCCAGCTACCTGGATCACCTGAACAGCTGGGGTCTCTGGGAGAAACGTGCTGAGCTGGACATCAAGATCGAGGGCATTCGCGCATCTTCGCGCAGTTCCCGCACCGTTTTTCTCTCCTGCAACTTTTGCGGCAAGTCTGTTTCGAATGCCTTGCTAGACGAGCCACGTCCGAGGAGCACCACCACCAGCACCAATCGACTCTCCTCCTGCCCCAGCTGCCGAAAGCCGCTGCCTCGCTGCTCGCTCTGCCTGATGCACATGGGCACCATGGTGAACATGAGCAATGGGGAGACGCCGAACACGTCGCCCGAGGTTCCCGGCTGGCAGACGAAGCCCTTCTCGAAGTGGTTCTCCTGGTGTCAAACTTGTCGCCACGGCGGACACACCGAGCACATCATGCAGTGGTTCAAGTGAGTTGGAATTCAAGCATTTTGATATTTTAATCTGGAAATTTAACCATTTTATAGACAAAATTCAGAGTGCCCCGTATCCTCGTGCAATTGTCGCTGCTTCGACATGGACGGCACCAAGCCGAATACTTTGAGAGACATTTCCTAGCTGTCCGGAGCTCCGCCCATCCACAGCCCTTACTCGCCCATGCCATATGCATTAAGTTGTTCGATTTGTTCCAAAACGCGCGCGCCTTAAACAACAAACTCAGAAGTGTTCATTGTACTTAGACAAGGGATGTGCCCGTAGATTTAGTGTTTATGACCTACCAGCTTTTAGCTGCTCAATTGCATTTTATACTTACATTCAAATAAAGGACTATAAATATTATGAACCTTCAGTAGTAAGTAATATATGGGTGATTCTTTGTGAAACGTATTGAGATTTTCTTCATGGTGTCAAAACTATATCTAATTTTTATGACACTATCACACCATTTAAAAATAATTTAAAACAAGAAAGGAAGCTAGCTTCGGCAAGCCGAAGCTTATATACCCTTGCAGATCATTCTATTAATTTTCAAATCGCAAAATTAACAAAAATTAAATTTCTTTTTATTTCACATTAATTTTTCGATCGTTTCTATCACAGCTATATGATATAGTAGTTCGATCTTTTAAAAATTAAAATCGAAATTCGGAAATATTTCAAAATAGTCATATCACAGAGTAGAAGGGAATGTAATAAAAACCAACAAAGATATAATTTTTTTCCCATTAATTTCCATTTAATTTTTCGACCGTTCCTATGGCAGCTATATGATATTGTGATCCGATTTAAAAAACAAAAAAAGCGAATTTCAGAAATATATAAAAAAAAATATTCCCAAGAGTAGAAGGTAAAATTTCAAAAAACACCGGAGCTAGAATTTTTTTACGTTTTTTTTTTTGATCCTTCCTATGGGAGCTATAAGATATAGTTGTCCGATCCGGTTGGTTCCGACATATATACTACCTGCAATAGAAATACGACTTTTACGAAAGTTTCATCCCGATAGCTTTAAAACTGAGAGACTAGTTTGCGTAGAAACGGACGGACAGACGGACGGACAGACGGACATGGCTAGATCGACTCGTCTTGTGATGCTGATCAAGAATATATATACTTTATGGGGTCGGAAATGTCTCCTTCACTGCGTTGCAAACTTCTGACTGAAATCATAATACCCTCTGCAAGGGTATAAAAAAATCCATTTGACAGAAGCGAAGATATGGCGATGTTATTTTTTTGTTTAATTTATTTCTAATTTTAAATTACGTGGGGTAAAAAATAAATAAAAATACCCAGAAATTATTATTTTTGTCAAGCTTTCAGATAAAAATAACACCCATAATGGTGCAAAATATAGTCCAAACTTAAAAAAAAAAATTTTTTAATTCGCGGTTTTTCTGCAAATTGGCCTTTTTAAACTTTATAAAAAAAATAGTATAATATTTTATACATACATAATTCTTGTTGGCTCCTGGAAGTTCCATTAATTATATTTAAATATGTTTTTAATTTAAGTTTTTATATTTTCTTATTAATCTCATGAATGTAGCTATTGATTTCATTCTTATCTAGGAGCAGAGAGGAAATAATGTGTTGTTACTTTTTTGGCTCTTTTGCCCTTCTGAACTTTTCCATAATCAGACTTATAGTTCCACGGCTATTTTTTTAAACTTATCAGTTTTACTTTGGACATGGATGGGAGATCAACAGCATTTACGTGGCTCGGATGCTTGTTCCTTTTGGGACTTTCCACAGTGGCTGCTGAGAGACAGGTGTTTTTAAATCAGAATCATGAAATTCTGCACAGCATGCTGAGCTCAATTAACGATACAGCAGACCCATGTCTGGATTTTAAAGGATATTTAAATGCCAAAGACGATTACATGTACGCACAACTATCTAAGGAAAACAATGCGAGGGAGAAGACTAATCGCAAGTTCCATTCGATGTTTGAAAGACTGAAAAATGGAACCTACGAAGCGGGCAGTGTCGAGGAAATGGTTTTCAAGCTGTATAACACCTGCCAAACCCCCGGACGCCAAAGATCTGATTATGTGAAGTACGTGCAGCCGGACATTAATCTTCCCTGGCCTCTAAATACTCCAGATGGCCTTCCGTGGCCAAAGGAACGTTTCCAATGGCTGGTGACTCTCGCCCGATTGCAACGCTATGGCATGAAAGACGTGTTACTAAATCTAAAGATCAAAGTGGATCGCGAGAATCATACTGAGCCCTTGGTAGTGATCAAACAATCCGAAACGAGACATAAAGATTTGTTCAGAGACTACAGAATTGACAGTGAGTTCAACGAGAACGATTTAATAGAAAAAGGATTCAAGAGGAGTCAAGCTAAGTCCATGTCTGAAAACTTAAACAATCTTCTACTAGCTTTAGAAAGTCTAGATGAGAAAAGAACCAAATCATTTCAGGGAAAGCGTTTGACCCTTCAGCAGCTAGAAAGTGATTATGGAATTTCCCTAAGAAAATATCTCGAGACTGTTTTTGAACGCCGGTTCGCGCCGAGTTTCCACTTACTGATCGATGATGTGAACTATTTGGTGGAACTTAATCAACTTTTGAGCACATACAACCAGGAGATTGTTGCCTGCTACCTAATGGTACGCTTTCAAGATTATATGAGCTCGTTGACCCATTACAATGATGATTGCGGTGACATTGTACAATCGAATATGTTGTTTGCAAGCGATCTGCTCTTCGAAGAACATGTTCTGGGTGAGAAAAAATTCAAGGAGTATCAGGACCAGATCCCTCAAATATTTAAAGCTATAATCAAGTCGTTTAAACGAAGGTTGGAAAGGAATCGCCTGAACTTACCACTCTCGCAGATATCTGCTTTTATAAAGTTTCTGGACGGATTGACCATAAATGTAGGGAGCATGCCAAGTGATAAAGATCACCGAAGCTTTGTGATGGATTACTATGCAGATCTTGATTTGGATGACGATGACAATTTGGATACCATGAGGCTTAAGTTATCCATGTTACGCACTCGTCGGATGCTGGAGAAATTGGATCAACCGGTGAGCTCATCTCCGTCTACACTCGACATCTTCAATGGCGTGGACTTTAACACAATCAACATTCCCTATATACTTTTGTCCGAACCTTTGTTTATGACCCGTGGTCACGAGGTCTTTAAGGTAAATATGAGATCCCTATAACTGCTTATCAAATGCCTTACACTTTCTTAATTTTAGTTCGGTTCAATTGGCACATTACTCGCTGAAAAAGTACTTGGAGCCTTTCATAACTGGGACGTCGACTTCAATTGCGAGGATCTTATCAATTTGGGAAAGTCTTTAGATGACCACGATATATATACTAACAAAACATTTCGCTGCTCTGAGAACTTTTACTATACAATTGGTGGCATACTCGGAGTGAAACTAAACTTAATGAGTTTGGTTCACGATGCCTACTTCTCTACAGAATCCGGATATGATCACCTGCAGCATATTTTCACTGATGTGCCCTTGAAACAGCTTTTCTTCATACAATTTGCCCAGAGGCATCTACCTCTTTTTATATATTACTTTAGTACCAAAACCGAAAAATTATTTTTAACAATGCCCGCTTTCATTGAAGCTTTTAATTGCTCGAATTCTCCTATGATACACCAGAGATAAAAACCAATTCTTGTAATCTTTTTGTGGTCAAATGTCGCCTTTAAACCGGAATTTTTTTAATCGATAAGTTCCCAAATCTGTGTTTATAAGAAACATGTTGTCTTTGTAATAAAAAGTTTTTTTCTTCCAACTTGAGATAAAACCTCGATTGTGTTCAGATTAATATTTGAAACCCTAATATCCATAGAATCAAATAAATAAATTTGCATTTAAAACCACTGCTACTGGGCGATCAAAATACAGTAGTCTTTTTCATTATATTTAAAAAGGTTCCTAATGAAAACAAGGGAGATGGCTAGTCGAGTATTTCGACTATCAGATACCCGTTACTCAGATAAAGGTAGTCCGAGGGAGATGGAGATAGTCAGTCGTCAGCGCCATCTAGTGTCTGTTTAATTTTTTGTTCATAATTTTTAAAAATTTTCTTTTACATTTTAATGGGTATTAATCAACATAACAAAATTGCATTTACATTTTTACAACATTTGTAAAGTTCTCTATGGCGATTGTGGGCTTTAGAGTGGGCGTGGCGGTTAGCTGAAACAAACTTGCGATGCGTAGGAAGCCCAAAAATATGCGTGTGTTGGTCCCAACTTTCTAGCTTTTGTAGTTCCCGAGATCTTAGCGTTCATACGGACAGACGGACATGGACGGACAATACTTTTTCGCGAATACAATATACCCTTTTAGTCTACGACTAACGGGTATACTTATTTTAGATTATGTGTTCTTTTTCTTCGTTGAGCACATGTTTGATTTCCAAATTAGGAACGATTGTGAAGCTGATCGGTGCCAGGAACGAGTAATGCTTTTTGGGTCTTTTGCCCTTTTAAACTATGTAAGCTATAATCAGTTTTCGACTTCCCTTTTTTTTTAGGCTTTTTAGTTCATAGTCAGACATGGATGGGAACGCAACAATACTTAAGTGGCTCGGATGTTTCTTGATTTTTGGATTATCCACAGAGGCTGCTGAGAGACAAGTGTTCTTAAATCAGAATGATGAAATCCTGCACAATATACTGCGGTCCAAGAACGGTTCTGCAGACCCATGTGTGGATTTCAAGCACTATTTCATTGGAATATACGAGTATGATGAGCCCATAAGACAAGCTGAGGAACGTATTTCGGAGGAGAATATGTCTCTTAAGTACCATTCACTGTTTGAACAACTAAAAAATGGAACCTACCAACGTGGCAGTGTAGAGGATATGGTTTCCAAGCTGTACAACACCTGCCAAACGGCCAAGGAAAGGGGTAACTATGTAAAGTCCATTCAGCCAGACGTCGACATCCCTTGGCCCCAATACACTCGATATGGCTTTGGCATTCAGTGGCCCAAGGAACGTTTTCAGTGGCTTGTGACCCTCGCCCGATTGAATCGCTTTGGCCTGGATGACGTGCTACTCAAACTGAGACTTAAAGTGGATCCCGAGGATTACTCCAAGTACCTGGTGGTGATCAAGCAAGCCAAGCCCATGATTTATGTATGGTACAACGAGGACCGTGTAGCTGAAAAACTATATAACAAAAGTCAAGCTGGGTTCATGGCTCACGATTTAAGAACCCTTGCTCAAGCTATAGAAGATCTACGTAAAAGCCAAACGGATCCATATAATGGAAAGCGTTTGACTCTTCAGCAGCTTGAAAGTCAGTATGGAGTTTCCCTAAAAAAGTATCTCGAGATCGTCTTTGAACGGCAGTTTGAGCCGAGTTTCCAGTTACAGATCGACGATGTTCGATATTTGGTGGAACTTAATAAACTGTTGAGCACGTACAACCAAGAGACTGTCATATACTACCTACTGGATCGCTTCGAAGAAAGTCAGGTCTGGCCTAACTCGAATAACTGCGCTGAACTTGTGAGGACGGATATGTTTTTTGGCAGCCTGCTGCTCTTTGAGGAACATGTCCTGGGTGAGAAGAAAGTGAAGGATTATCAGTCCCAGGTCCCTCAAATATTTAAAGCTATAATCAAGTCATTTAAACGAAGATTGGAAAGGAATCGCCTGAATTTACCACTCTCCCAGATATCTGCTTTTCTAAAGTTTCTTGACGGAATCACCATAAATGTGGGCAGCATGCCAAGTGATAAAGATCACCGAAGCTTTGTGATGGATTACTATGCAGATCTTGACTTAGATGACGATGACAATTTGGATACCATGCGATTAAAGTTATCCATGTTACGCACTCGTCGGATGTTGGAAAAATTGGATCAACCGGTGAGCTCATCTCCGTTTACACTTGACATCTCCAATGACGTCGACTTTAACACAATCAACATTCCCTATACATTTTTGGCCGAACCTTTGTTTATGACCCGTGGTCACGAAGTCTTTAAGGTAATTAAAATATCCGTAATTTTCCATATCAAATGCCTAAAAAATCTTTTTTAATTGTAGTTCAATGGAATTGGCAACTTCTTAGCTCGGCAAATACTCGCAGCCTTTCATAACTTGGACGCTGACTACGATTGCAAGGACCTGACTAACTTTGTGAAATCTTTAGATGATATAGATATATTTACTCACAAAACATTGCTCTGCGTTGACGAAGCAACCCAGACAATTGAGGACCTAAACAGATTGGACCTAGTTATCCTAGATTTAATTCACGATGCTTACTTCTCCAAGGAATCAGGATTTGACCTATCACAGCCCTTCTACACCGATGTGCCGCTAAAGGAGCTTTTCTTTTTGCAATATGGACAGCGATTCCTACACGTATTTATTATGTCCGACTATAATTCCGGATTCAACAAAATTCTACCCACCATGCCTGCTTTCGCCGAGACCTTCAATTGTTCGAGCTCCTCGTAAAGTTCAATTTTAATACAATACAATTAAACTTAATGTTTTATAAAAAATAAGTCAGAGATAAAAATATCAAATATCATCTTTATATCGGATATATTGTCAAAGCATAATAGATTAGTTCCTAACTTTTCCTTCAAATAAACACAATACTTTTTGTAATGAACTTTTTTTTACAACTCTTTTTTGTACTAAAATTAAGGTTTTATAACCAATTACACCTGGAATCACATAGATATTATTTAAAAGTGATTTTCTAAAGTGGAATTTCTCTTGTACGTATTATGATCCATTATAATATAGTGAGTTTATTGACATTTGAGCATCGATATTCTCTATCAGCAGCAATTCCTCAAGGAGTGCTATAAATACCACAGTTACTTGCTATAATACGATTAAACCTTTCTTATCAGTTGCAATTCTACAGGGTTTGCTTTACACTCATAGAAATTTTTACCTAAATACTAGGAAAGTCGCCCTAAAACCGAGGTAGCCCTAAAACTACGAAAAATTTTCTTATTATACGGGTGGCTAGCCCTAAATATACGAAAAATCGCCATGGAAAATATTTTTTAGGGTTAGTTTTTTCAAAAAGGCCAATTTGCCCTACTTTTTAGGGCGAATTTTTATGAGTCGACTCCAAAAGTAATTCCTTCTTTTTAGGGCGAAATCGCCCTAAAACGTTGAACAAAATAGCAAAAAAAATGTTCTGAAATTGCCCTAAAAACAAGGAAGAGTCAAACGAAATTTTAAGACGCAATAAATGGATACATATGTAATACATGTGTGTATGTGTGTGTGGTTGACAGGTCAAAACAAGTGAATGTGTGTGTATATTAGGGCGGACCTTTTTCTATGAATTTTGATGCTGAGCGCATTTGACTTTAGAGAAGTCCACCCTTTTTCTTCTTCTTTGCTACTTTTCGTCCGCTGCAGTGGCAAGGGTGGGGGTAGAAAGAGTTGCATTGTCTAGACTTTGTCATAATTTTTCGGGCGCTTGGAAGTGAATGACGTGTTTTTGAGTAACTATTTGTTTGTGAGAAAGTAAAAAAATGGAAACGGTATTAAAAGACTTGGGAGGCGATTCTTTCTCTGTTTTCTGGTGAGTACATACATATATAATTGTGCAATTTGGATATTAATAACTAATTGAATTTACATATCTGTAACAGAGGAAAGTGCAGCTGAAACTTAAAAGATTTGACTGGAAGCAGCGGTCCAGATGTAGAGTTTTGGAAGTGTGGCAGAACAAAGTAAGAACATTAATAAGAGTATACATATATGTATGTGTATATGTAAATACCCTGTAGTTCTCAAGGGGGCCGGTGGCACTTTCGGGGTAGAAAAGGGATCGACCACCCAGTGGTCCCTTAAGGGTCAATAGGTGGCGTGTGTATTTTTTACAAGAGCAAAAGAGTTATCGGAGAGTGAACACTTCTATGTGAACACTTCTATATGAGTTAAAAAAATTGTAAAATGAAATTTTTGACAAGTATATAATGATTTTAATAACGAATACAACTTTATTTTGTTTATATAAAAAACAAATTTAAAAAAAGTTAAAATAATAAAATAAAAACTTAATAATGAGATAAAATAATATAATAAATGATAGAATTTTATTTCTTTTTATATTATTTATATTTAATAATGAGCAATTTAGCTGCAGGAATATTTTTAACAATAGCGGTGGTTCAGTAGCAAAACGTTTTCTTTCCTTCCATAACAAGCGGATTTTATTGGTGCTTAGATATATAAAATAAATATATAAGTACCTAATTTTATATACATAGAACTAAACAAAAATAATATTAGCGAATGTTTTTATTGCCATCGATTATACGATATCGGTAGTCGCAATATTAATCGTAACGGATTGCCATAACTACCCAACCCCGCTACCATCACTAACCCAACGTTTGCGCCAAATTTTGTAAACATTGTATTTAATTTGTCTTATTGTACATTTAAAGTGTTATATTTTGTTGTGATCTGAAGTGTCGTCAACAGGTGAGTAACACCATGAGTTGTGCAAGTGAAATACCTAATAATGTGTGATATTTAGCCATGAACAGCAACAGGCACATTCGTCGATTTGTTAAAGAGGAGAAGGAGAAATAGTGGTGCAAAGGACTCCTACGTAAGTCTTTTTAAAGGGCGCCTTATAAATATTTTTATGAAATTTTCTTCCTTTTTAGATTAAAGCCATGAGATCGTTGTTGCTGCCAGAAGGGGGTTTAAAAAACTTGCGAAGGGTTCTCACGGATGAGTTTGTTTTGGGATTTAATGTTAAAGGCCTTTCTGGAAAAAAAAGCCGTAAACTCCTTTACACATTTCTATGGTGCACTTCACGGTAGGTTATTTTTATAACTGTATTTTTTATAATACACTTAGTTTCTTGATTCAATTTCAATCTATTTACTTAGAATGCCATCTGTCTTTAATCCTATTTCTTTCTGTCTTTTTCTGCTTTTCACTTTTAAAACATGGTTTGATGTAAACAGGCTTGTATAACAAAATCTAAAAATATATATTTAAACCCATGCAGAGGGAATTATAATTTAGTCCAGAAGTTTGTTACGCAGTAAAGGAGACCTTTTCAAACCTATAAAGTAAATCCATTTAACCATGTCCGTCTGTCTGTCGGTTCAAGTTTCAAAAGCGTGAAATAAGTCTACATTTAACTGTTGGTTATTCTTATTTTATATTTTTGCTTTTCTAGTCACAATTTTATTCCTGAAAGCTGCAAGGGTATTAAAACTTTGGCTTGCCGAAGTTAGTTTCTGTTCTCATTTTATTTTAAAACACTAAAATCTTATTTTTTTTAGATATTGTTTCAGAATCTGGTAATGCAGAAATATTGATTTCCAAGGCAATTCAATTGCAAAAGAAACGATTTTTTAAAATAAATTCAAATCAAATAATAACAACAATGAGGAACTCAACAAAAACGTGTCAGCAGAGGAATTTGTTCAATAAATATAAATTAAAAAAATAGAAAAATTGTCTACTTATAATACAATAAATTAATTTAACAAAAAGTATTTTTTCTTGGGAAGTTTCATAGCATTCAGCTTTTTTGGTATTGAAAACACCAACCCCATTTCATACCCCTTTTCGCCACAAAAGGGACCGATAGGTGGTCCGATAGATGGTCCGATAGGTGGCCCCTTTTGTGGCGAAAAGGGGTATAATATGGGACCACCTATCGGTCCCTTTTGTGGCGAAAGGTAATGCAGAACTTCGCCATATGACCACCGCCTAGGACATGCCGTGGTAAAAGTGGATAGAAATTTACATTGCGGGTGGTATGAACGGGAGTTAGTCCCAAGCCCCCGGTGTATGGCGATTTCGCTAGTTCGGGACCAGTCCCGGCGAACTACAGGGTATATACATCTGTACACATGTGTGTATTCTGTTGCATCATCTTTTTGCCTCAAGCATTACCCTGTAGTTCGCCGGGACTGGTCCCGAACTAGCGAAATCGCCATACACCGGGGGCTTGGGACTAACTCCCGTTCATACCACCCGCAATGTAAATTTCTATCCACTTTTACCACGGCATGTCCTAGGCGGTGGTCATATGGCGAAGTTCTGCATTACCTTTCGCCACAAAAGGGACCGATAGGTGGTCCCATATTATACCCCTTTTCGCCACAAAAGGGGCCACCTATCGGACCATCTATCGGACCACCTATCGGTCCCTTTTGTGGCGAAAAGGGGTATTAAATGGGACCACCTATCGGTCCCTTTTGTGGCGAAAAGGGGTATGAAATGGGGTTGGTGTTTTCAATACCAAAAAAGCTGAATGCTATGAAACTTCCCAAGAAAAATACTTTTTGTTAAATTAATTTATTGTATTATAAGTAGACAATTTTTCTATTTTTTTAATTTATATTTATTGAACAAATTCCTCTGCTGACACGTTTTTGTTGAGTTCCTCATTGTTGTTATTATTTGATTTGAATTTATTTTAAAAAATCGTTTCTTTTGCAATTGAATTGCCTTGGAAATCAATATTTCTGCATTACCAGATTCTGAAACAATATCTAAAAAAAATAAGATTTTAGTGTTTTAAAATAAAATGAGAACAGAAACTAACTTCGGCAAGCCAAAGTTTTAATACCCTTGCAGCTTTCAGGAATAAAATTGTGACTAGAAAAGCAAAAATATAAAATAAGAATAACCAACAGTTAAATGTAGACTTATTTCACGCTTTTGAAACTTGAACCGACAGACAGACGGACATGGTTAAATGGATTTACTTTATAGGTTTGAAAAGGTCTCCTTTACTGCGTAACAAACTTCTGGACTAAATTATAATTCCCTCTGCATGGGTTTAAATATATATTTTTAGATTTTGTTATACAAGCCTGTTTACATCAAACCATGTTTTAAAAGTGAAAAGCAGAAAAAGACAGAAAGAAATAGGATTAAAGACAGATGGCATTCTAAGTAAATAGATTGAAATTGAATCAAGAAACTAAGTGTATTATAAAAAATACAGTTATAAAAATAACCTACCGTGAAGTGCACCATAGAAATGTGTAAAGGAGTTTAAGGCTTTTTTTTCCAGAAAGGCCTTTAACATTAAATCCCAAAACAAACTCATCTGTGAGATCCCTCCGCAAGTTTTTTAAACCCCCTTCTGGCAGCAACAACAATCTCATGGCTTTAATCTAAAAAGGAAGAAAATTTTACTAAAATATTTATAAGACGCCCTTTAAAAAGACTTACGTAGGAGTCCTTTGCACCACTATTTCTCCTTCTCCTCTTTAACAAATCGACGAATGTGCCTGTTGCTGTTCATGGCTAAATATCACACATTATTAGGTATTTCACTTGCACAACTCATGGTGTTACTCACCTGTTGACGACACTTCAGATCACAACAAAATATAACACTTTAAATGTACAATAAGACAAATTAAATACAATGTTTACAAAATTTGGCGCAAACGTTGGGTTAGTGATGGTAGCGGGGTTGGGTAGTTATGGCAATCCGTTACGATTAATATTGCGACTACCGATATCGTATAATCGATGGCAATAAAAACATTCGCTAATATTATTTTTGTTTAGTTCTATGTATATAAAATTAGGTACTTATATATTTATTTTATATATCTAAGCACCAATAAAATCCGCTTGTTATGGAAGGAAAGAAAACGTTTTGCTACTGAACCACCGCTATTGTTAAAAATATTCCTGCAGCTAAATTGCTCATTATTAAATATAAATAATATAAAAAGAAATAAAATTCTATCATTTATTATATTATTTTATCTCATTATTAAGTTTTTATTTTATTATTTTAACTTTTTTTAAATTTGTTTTTTATATAAACAAAATAAAGTTGTATTCGTTATTAAAATCATTATATACTTGTCAAAAATTTCATTTTACAATTTTTTTAACTCATATAGAAGTGTTCACATAGAAGTGTTCACTCTCCGATAACTCTTTTGCTCTTGTAAAAAATACACACGCCACCTATTGACCCTTAAGGGACCACTGGGTGGTCGATCCCTTTTCTACCCCGAAAGTGCCACCGGCCCCCTTGAGAACTACAGGGTATTTACATATACACATACATATATGTATACTCTTATTAATGTTCTTACTTTGTTCTGCCACACTTCCAAAACTCTACATCTGGACCGCTGCTTCCAGTCAAATCTTTTAAGTTTCAGCTGCACTTTCCTCTGTTACAGATATGTAAATTCAATTAGTTATTAATATCCAAATTGCACAATTATATATGTATGTACTCACCAGAAAACAGAGAAAGAATCGCCTCCCAAGTCTTTTAATACCGTTTCCATTTTTTTACTTTCTCACAAACAAATAGTTACTCAAAAACACGTCATTCACTTCCAAGCGCCCGAAAAATTATGACAAAGTCTAGACAATGCAACTCTTTCTACCCCCACCCTTGCCACTGCAGCGGACGAAAAGTAGCAAAGAAGAAGAAAAAGGGTGGACTTCTCTAAAGTCAAATGCGCTCAGCATCAAAATTCATAGAAAAAGGTCCGCCCTAATATACACACACATTCACTTGTTTTGACCTGTCAACCACACACACATACACACATGTATTACATATGTATCCATTTATTGCGTCTTAAAATTTCGTTTGACTCTTCCTTGTTTTTAGGGCAATTTCAGAACATTTTTTTTGCTATTTTGTTCTACGTTTTAGGGCGATTTCGCCCTAAAAAGAAGGAATTACTTTTGGAGTCGACTCATAAAAATTCGCCCTAAAAAGTAGGGCAAATTGGCCTTTTTGAAAAAACTAACCCTAAAAAATATTTTCCATGGCGATTTTTCGTATATTTAGGGCTAGCCACCCGTATAATAAGAAAATTTTTCGTAGTTTTAGGGCTACCTCGGTTTTAGGGCGACTTTCCTAGTATTTAGGTAAAAATTTCTATGAGTGTACGAAGCAGAAATTGTGGCTATTTATCTAAGGCAGGTTTTTGATAATTTCATAAGGTCCCCTCATCGCATAGAAACCTATAGGGAGTATGATTTCATATGCGTTCGCTATGTAACAAACTCAATGAAGTCTGTCAGCTATTTGCTCTACGAAGAGCATTTATTGGGCCAGAAGAAGGTCAGGGATTACAATGAGCAAGTACAAAGGGTTTTTGAAGCGATTCGGAAACAGTTTAAGATACGATTGAATAGAAATCGCTTAAATCTAACGACCTCTCATATAACATCTCTGAAGAAGATCTTGAGCTCCGTTACAGTAAACGTAGGAAATGTGCCCAAAAGTCAGGGCTATCGTCGCTATTTAACAGATTTTTATGCCGATCACTATGGACGGCAGTCCATGTAGTGACGAAGCGCACCAGGAGAGTGTGCGAAGGCGACTACTATTATATAGCCGCAAAATTGAAAATCGGCAGTGATAGTCCGATCGTAATGAGTAATACACCAATCGAAAGGTATTGCAAAAACTTAAAGGATTGCATACCAAGACTTTAAGAAAATCAATTGGCTTGGGAGAGAGAGCGGTGAAAGTGAAAAATTGAAAATTTCGAAATTTGGAGCTGTTGGGGCCGGTGGGGATAAATGCCCCCTCGCAATGTTTTAGTTGTATTCCTCTTGAAAATACCCGTCGAATGAGGGATCATTTGTCAAAATCCGACTCTCCGTTCAAAAGTTATAGCCAAAATAAGATTTTCTTCTTCTTCCCAAAATGAAAATTAATTTCTGTTTGTCCACTTGTCCACTTGTCCA